GTGAAAATTATGTCAGTCACCATTACTGTTTAAACACAGAACTGGAGACTGTGGCCAATGTTATAAGAAAAGAAAAAATAATGAGTGGTATAAAGATCAAGAGGGAAGTGTGAAAACATTTGCAGGTGATTTGCTTATCGTCCTTGAAACCCCAGCAGAATCAACAGAAAAATTCTAGCACAAAAGAGAAAGTTCAGCCAAATTGCGAAATAGAAAAATCAATAACATTTCTTCTGCATGATCCAATTGTAAAAATATAATGAAAAATAACATACTATTCACAGTAGGAACCAAACCCATTGTTGTGGTTACCTAGTGGCAATCTGACAGGAATATGCCACAAATGGGGAAGGCTTTAACAAACAGGAGTTTATTCTCTTACAGTTCAGAGCCTTTAAGTCAAAGAGTTCAAAGTGCCAGGCTCTGGGGGCTGGGTGAAGGCCCCTCAACCTTGAACTTCAGCTCTGCCTCCTGCTTCTGGCCCACTGAAGCTGGAGGCTTTTCTTCACTCAGACAGCTGCTGGCTGCTGAGGCTGACAAACCCAAGGTCGACAAGTAAAAAGACACAGTCTCAATGTTACCAAACAACACGGCAGGCCACTAATTCAAGTCCAGGAGAAGTCCCAAGATTGGCAGGGCATGGAAGCCTGCTGAATAATGACTTGGTTAAATGCAGGGTTCAAGCATGCCAAAAAGCTGGAGCCCTTCCTCAAAGCTGCTTCTTATATACTGGAAGCAGACCATATTCCTAAAGCAGCTATTCAGTTGCTCCAGTAGATTCCACCATGGAAATGATTGCCAGTCTCACCATGGGGAATAGCTACATCCAGCTGCCCAGCCACTCACCCAGGCCCAGCTAAGTTGACAACAACCTTAACTACCACATCCAAAAAATAGCTAAAAATTTAGCCTAGTGCACCCAAGATTACTATGGCACTTAGAATCTGTGGAGTATATAGAACTTCACTGTCTAGTCCAGCAGCCACTAGCTACATACGTCTAGCCATGAAAATTAATCATTGCATTAAACTAAAACTTTATGGCCTTAGTCATATTAGTCATGTTTCAAGAGCTCAGTAGCCACGGACAGTCCAACCTAAAAAGCTCACTGCTGTCAAGTTGATTCTGACTCATAGCTACCCCCATTGGGTTTCCAAGGCTGTAAATCGTTATGGAGGCAGACCACCCCATATTTCTTCTGCAGAGTGACTAGTGGGTTCGAACCACCAACCTTTTGTTTAGAAGCCAAATGCCTGAACCACTACACCACCAGAGCTCCTTTGCCACATATGGTAACCAAAACCAAACTCACTACTGTGGAGTCGATTCTGAGTCATAGTGATCCCTCATTGGGTTTCCAAGGCAATATCTCTACAGAAGATTGCTCATCACATATAGTAGTGGCTGCCATATTGAGTAGCTCAGATAAAAGACAATTCCATCATCAGAGAAAGTCCTATTGGATAGCACCGGTACACAAGATGATTTTAATAAATATGCAGCCAGCATGTTCCTTAGAAACAAGAATGGTCAGACATCATCTCATGTATTTTGGTCATGTTGTCAGAAGGGACCAGTCTGTATCATGCATGGTAGAATACAGAGTCGGTGAAAAAGAGAAAGACTCCCAACGAGATGGATTGATAGAGTGGTTGCAACCATGGGCTTAAGCATGGAAAGGGTTTAGAGAATGGCACAGGACCAGGCAGTGTTTCGTTCTGTTGTACACAGGGTCTCTGAGTTGGAACTGACTCAACAGCACCTAACAAGAACATACCCTGAAGAGAAGAGGGGACAGATGAACTTTGAAGCTTGTCTTCAAATATTTGCAGAGTTGCCACACAGACAAGTGGTTACATACATTCCCTTTGGCATCTGACAGTGGGACTGGAATCATGTGGGACAGCTCAAAGCTGCTGCAAAATGAAATGGGCTGTCTGTTGAGGTAGTGAACTCCCTGTCGTGGGAAACATCCAAGGCCAAGCTAGTGGTCCCTGGTGGGCTTTTGTGGAGGTGGTTCGTAATCAGGACAGAGTCCCCTTCCATTGAAAATCTCTGACCCTAGATCTCGTCCCAGACCCATCACTGGATCAGTTTGTCAATAAGCAAAGGGCATGGCGTTTCTAAAACAGAACACACAGTCTTAATTAAAATATGTTTACTTCTTCAACATAAATAATCACAGTAAGAGTTGTTGCTGTTGAGTAGATTCTAACTCATAGCGACCCTGTAAGACTTAGTAGAACTGCCCCATAGGATTTCCAGGGCTGTAATCTTTATGGAAGCAGACTGCCACATCTTTCTTCCATGGAGCAGCTGATGGGTTCAAATTGCCAACCTTTCATTTACCAGCTGAGTGCTTAACCGTTGCACCACCAAGACTCCATTCACAATAATAATAATAATAACCAAATCACCGCCATCGAGTCAATTCCAACTCATAGCAACCCCCATTGGGTTTCCAAGGCTGTAAATATTTATAGTAGTAGATCGCCCCATCTTCCTTCCACGGAGCAGCTGGTGGATTTGAACCACTGACCTTCTGGTTAGCAGCCGAGTGTCTTATCAACTATGCCACCAGAGCTCGTTTATCACAATAATAGCTACCTACCATTTATTGAAAACTTACTGTAAGCCAGGTACTGTGCCAAAGACTTTATAGACTTTATCTCCTGTCATCACTTGAATAACTCTGAGAAAAACAGGATTCTCATTTTTTTGTTGTTGTTTTGTTTTAAATTCCATTTATTTTTAAAGTCTGGCTTCAAAAACTACCAATATGATTAATTATGCCTTTAACAAGATCATTCAATGTCTAAACAAATGCAATGTCTAAACACAAAGGATTCCCATTTAACAAACAAAAACCTGAGGCTCAGAGAAGGTAAGTGATTTGCCCAAGGTCACACAGCAAATAAAAAAGACAAAGCTAGAATTCAAGCCCAGGTGTGTCTGACTCTAAAGCCAGTGTACCTCTCCACCCCTCACATTATTGGGGCGCAGGTGGACTCACTGCTCCTAGGTGATGTCAAATAGTCTCTACTCCTAGGTGATGTCATATATTACTGGCTAGAGGCATAGAGCCTAAGGCATTTGACTGCTAACCAGAAGGTTGACAGTTTAAACCCACCAGCCACTCCTTGGAAGGAAGATTGGGCAATCTACTTCCTTAGAGATACCACCTTAGAAACGCAAAGAGGGGTCGCTGTGAGTCAGATCTGGCTCCACAGCAGTGAGTTGTTTTTTTTTTGTTTGTTTTTTTCTTAGATCAGCCTCTAGAACTAACAGGCTAGAACTAGTTCTAGCCTCTGTTAATTTAACTAATTTTAAAAGGCCTGGGAAGTGAAATCAACAACTCTCCAAAATTAAAGGTCTTTGCTTTTAAAAAAGTTTTTTAAAAATCCAGACCTCCAATGTATTCTGTATCCGGGAAAGGCTGGGACAGTCCCCACTGTCTCCTTAAGAGTTGGTTCTCAATCTGGCCTCAAGACTTCTCTCACCTCGGCTTCTTCTCGCAGCTCGGAACTTTGACCTGCAGAAATCTGAGGACATGCTCCGCCAGGTGAGGGCCTGTCCTTCTGAGTGCCCTGCCTCCCGCACTTGCACCCTGGGCTTGGAGACAGAGGGTGGGCATTCTTACCCTGTCAGTTTCCATGTTTCTTCTTCTTTTCTCCTTGTACCCCATTCTGCATTAAACCCATGTCCGCTCCACCCCCTCCCATCCCATCCCCAGTGCTTTGTGGGTGGGGCCGGGGATGCTTTAGCAAGTCCTCAGTGGCGGTGAGTAGAAGGGCCTGGCCTGGTGCCCCAGAGCCCCAAGGAAGCAGGTGGGGCCTTCAGCTCCAGGCTTATCTCCACAGCACATGGAGTTCCGACAGGAGCAAGACCTGGACAACATCCTTACATGGCAGCCCCCAGAGGTGAGCCCCATGCAGCACCCCCTAAGCAGTCACCCTGGCACCTCCCTGGAACCTCTTATCCCCCCCTGCTCCCGATGGAGCAGATGCTCAGCCTTGGGGGCTGTATTAAATCAGGGCCTTTCCCACGTCCCAGGTGATCCAGCTTTATGACTCAGGGGGCTTATGTGGCTATGACTACGAAGGCTGTCCTGTGTGGTTCGACATCATCGGGACCCTCGACCCCAAGGGCCTTTTACTGTCAGCCTCCAAGCAGGCGATGATCCGGAAGCGCATCAAGGTCTGCGAGATGCTTCTGCAAGAGTGTGAACTACAGAGTGAGAAGGTGAGAGGCTGGGACAGGTGCAGTGGGCTGGTGTACCTGCAGGGAGGCATCAGAACCAGGGAGAGGTGGCTCCTGCCCCACCCCTCTCCCCAGCCCTCAGCACTCAGGGCTTTGGTGGAGTGTGGGGGTCTCCCCCACACACCCACCCATGAGCATCTAGCATGCTCTGCTGGCCTGAGTCATCAAACCCCTATCCACTTCTGCATGAAATGCTACCCTTGGGTGCAGTGAGCCCTCTCTCACTGAGACCCTGGAACCCTGGTCTGAGTGGACGGACAGTCAGCTCTGCTTATGGAAAATATGTCCCTGGTTGGTAACTGGTGTTAAGTACAGTCATCTGATGGGGGAGCCATTGCTTTGGGTGACCATTGAAACTGGTTATGTCATTAATGGAGACCCTAGAAGCTATGCCTATGGAGATGCTACAGAAAATAATATCAAGACCTGGGGCATGGAGTTTCTGAACCAAGAAGGAGCCTGCATCCACCTCTGTGGGTTCTTCTCCTTGCCTCTTATCTGTCCACTGACACTGACACACTGTGGGTCCTGGCTCATGTTCTTCTGCGTGAATCCAATGCTGAGTGTGGCCTGCGTTGGTCTCATGAGTCTAAGTGTCTAGATGGCGCCCTGGTGAGTACTGTTGTGTCATTGGGATGACTTAGTGAATGGCTGTCTCCACGTGCCCAAGGCAGGGTATGTGTCCCCAGCACCCAGCACAAGGCCAGACACATAGCAGGCCTTCCACAGAGATTTATGACAATCACGAATGAATTACAAAACACCATATTTAATAGTGCCTGGTTTGAGTAGAAGGAGGCACAGTGGTTAAGCACATTGCTTTTAACCAAAAGGTCACTGGTTTGAACCTACTGGCTGCTCCAATGGAGAAAGATGTGACAGTCTGCTTCCATAAAGATTTACAGCTTTGGAGACCCTATGGGGCAGTTCTATTCTATCCCGTATGGTCACTGCCAAAGGGCACAGAGGCAGCATCTTCTGACCTCCTCTAACTCCACAAGAGGAAGACAGAATCACCATCAGCAGCCCAAGGCCTGTTCTTATGAGGCTAGACATACTACCATCTCCAGCCTTGTTACTAATCTTGTCCCCAACCATTACTCCCACAGCACCCACCACCTCTCTGCTGGGTTCAATAATTCACTACAGTGGCCACACAGAACTCACAGATTATGGGATTTATTAGGGAGGCAACAGGCTACAATTCAAGTTCAGGAACTCGCTCAGTCTCTCTCAGCTGACCGTCTCTCTCAGTAGCACATCTCTCTCTCAGCAGTATTTCTCAGCAGCATATCTCTCTCAGCCAGCAGTCTGAGAGATAGATTCCTTCTGCCTCTAGGAGGGCTCCTTTTGAGCTTGGCAGAGTGGTAAAATGAACCAATCCCAACATCAGAATTCTACACACCTGAGAGAGAGCGAACTTCCCAGAAGATGGCTTTGTGCCGCTCCACCAGAAATACACCAGGTGGATAACTTGAACAATCAGTTACTCAGTTGCTCACAGCAAAGTGGGAGTTACAAAGACTATGGCCAGAAAAGCCATACCATGTAATTTGCTAGACCACAGTCACTATCAGTTGGAATCAACTCGAGAGTAATGGGTGGATGGTTTGAATCTGTTCAAACTATGTATGTCTGTCAGACCAGATAGCTGATTTTATGGGGCCAGGACACTGGTGTCCACTTCATAGAAATTCCTTGTTGGAGCTGATCATTCTGGTGATGTTGATACTAATAATGTTGTTAGGCGCCATCAAGTTGATTCCGAGTCATAACAACCCTGTCTACAACAGAACTAAACACAGCCCAGTCCTGTGCCATGCTCATAATTGTTCTTATGTTTGATCCCAACTGTTGCAGCCACTATGTCAATGCATCTTTTTCACTGACTCTCTACTTTACCAAGCATGATATCCTTCTCCAGGGACTGGTGCCCAGTCCTGATAACATGTCCAGAGTACATGAGACAAAGTCTCACCATCCTCACTTTTAAGGAGCACTCTGGCTGTACTTCTTCCAAGACAAGTTGTTTGTTGTTCTGGCAGTCCATGGTGTCTTCAATATTCTTCACTAACCATACTTCAAAGGCATCAGCTCTTCTTGCATCTTTCTTATTCATTGTCCAGCTCTCACATGTATATGAGGCCATTGAAAATACCTTATATGTCAGCTTGTGTCAGTGCACCTTAGTCTTCAGAGGACATCTTTGCTTTTTAGCACTTTAAAGAGGTCTTTTGCAGCAGATACTAACAATAATATCTGCTATATAATAATATAATATATATAAAAATATATATAATATAATAATAATATCTGACTCATGATAAATATTCATGAGTCAGCTGCTGGGCAGTGTTTCGTTCTGCTGTGCCTGGGGTCGCTATGAGTCAGAAATGACTCAATGGCACTTAACAACAACAACAACATTTATCAACCCCCGTTGGTTGGGTTTCCGAGGCTATAAATCTTTATTGAAGTAGATTGCCCCATCTTCCTTCCATGGAGCAACTGGTGGGTTTGAACCACCAACCTTCTGGTTAGCAGTCAAATGCCTTGGGCACAGTGCCACCAGAACTCTAATATTTATCAGGGCCCGGCCATGGACCAGACACTGCGCACGTCATGTATTATCTCATTGAATCCTCACAGGCATCCTGTTAAAGCCCGAAATTATCCCCATCCTATACAGGTGTAAAGTAAAGCTCAGAGGAGTCAAAATCCCACCCAATGCTAACACAGCCAGTATGCAGCATAGCTGTGACTTCAGTGCAGCAATAGGATGACAGAACTTGGCTGACATAGTATATTGTATTGCACAGATATATTATAAAGGTACCCAATAGATAATGAATGGTGTCTTTAAGTGTATGATTAACTTATCCCAGGCAAGAGTATTGAGCAAACAGTGTTATAACACCATACAATCATAGACTGTTCCAGGCTACTATGTGGTGTCTCCCCAGGCCTTAGATGGGCTCCATCTGTTTAGGAACTTTGTGGGCTGCCAGGGGGTGGGAGGAATGTGGGTAGAAATGGCTGAGTCTCTCTGGTCACAGTCTCCTTGCTGGAGCTGTTGTCTGACCAGTAGATCCACTCTGTCCCATGCAGCTGGGCAGAAAGATCGAGACGGTGGTGATGGTATTTGACATGGAAGGGCTGGGCCTGAAACACCTGTGGAAGCCAGCTGTGGAGGTCTATGAACAGGTAAGGTGGGAGGCTGACCTGAAGGGACGAGGACTCCTAGGCCAATAGTGAGCCACTGCCCATGGAGGCTCCAGGGAGAGGCGAGGATCAGCCAGTGAGCTTTGCCTGGGGCCCACTCTCCAAGAAGAAGGAGGAGCAAGAGTTACATGGAGGAGCAGGACAGGATGGGCTGTGGGGTGCCTCTTGTTGTAGCACAGTCAGAGCCCACAGCATCCAGGACCAGGGGTCCCGTGCATGGCCTCAGCTTGACTCATCTTGACTCCACAGTTTTTTGCCATACTGGAAGCTAATTATCCTGAAACACTGAAGAGTTTAATTGTTGTGCGAGGTGAGTGAGAAGATCTCCTGGGAAAGGAGGAAGTGGAAAGGGGGGACGGTGGATAAGCTACCGAGTTCAGGGCTTTATAAACCATCCATTGTGAAGAACAATTTGGGGGTTTTGTCTTTTTTTTTTTTTTTTTTTAATCTTCACTAAAAGTCTTCACAGACTGAAGCTTTTTGTAATATACAAAATCATGGGCTGGTGTGTTGCAGCAATAGCAAATAAGTTATGTGTTTCTAAATATTTGCCATTGTTTGCTTTACTAAGCTTGGCATGGACTGGTAACAGACGGTTCATAGAAAATGCTGGTTGGTGAACACACTTTGAATGGGATTGGTCTCTGTCTGTGATGCCCATATAGTGTGGGGCTCATTACATGCACTCTGGAATCAGATGATCTAGGTTCAAATATGCTAGTTCTGTGACTCTGAGCCTTAATTTACCTATCTATGAAGTGGGCATGCAATGGTACCCTCCTCATAAGAGAGCTGTCAGGGTTGAATGAGACCGTCCACGGAGAAGATGTAGCTGAGAGCCTACCCCACAGCGAGTGCCCAGTGAGCAACATTTGACTGCTAACCAGAAGGCTGGTGGTTCAAACCCACCAGCCACTCCTTGGAAGGAAGACTGGGCAATCTACTTCCGTAGAGATAGCACCTTGGAAACCCAAGGAGGGGTCACTATGAGTTGGAATCAACTCGATGGCAGTGAGGTGAGGTCTAATGCAAGAGGACCCCAAGGCAACCTGGGAAAACCTGGAGTGTGGAAAGAAGCAGCACTGTTAGGCAATCAACTCCACTGACACCAGCTCAAGCCGGCTTGCGTCCAACATCTCACATCTAGGCTAGAGGAGGCAGCTGCTTGGTGAGAGGCAGACACTGTGCTGAATGTTATACATACATTGTTATACATACATTGCTCAACTTAATCTCCATTTTACAGTTAACACACTGAAACTCAGAGAGGGTGAGTAACTAGCTCTAGGTCACACAGCAGTAAGTGCCAGAATCTAGATCTATCCAGCTCTAAGGGTTATGGCTTTATTTGGCCAAGTCATCTCTGGCCCAGCTTCCCAAGGATATTCCGTGTGTCTCAGCTCCCACACTTTTCCCTGTGGCTTTCAACATGATCAAGTCATTCATGAGTGAGGACACAAGCAAGAAGATAGTGATTCTGGGAGGTAAGTGATTCAGCCTCCACATCTGCTGGGAAACAGAGGCCTCATCATCCCCCAGCCCTTCCTCTTCACTCCAGCCCCATTGCTCCCAGCCTGTCCTCTTTACACAAGGACTGACCCCCATCACTCCCAGCCTGTCCTCTTCACTTGGGGACTGGTCCTGGCCACATCGCTCCCAGCCCACCCTTTTCACTCAAGGACTGGCCCTGGTCCCATCACTCTCAGCCCATCCTCTTTACTCAGGGACTGGTCCTGGCCTGACTCAGTTGGCTTCTGCACTCACAAGGGAGGCCTCAGGCCCTCGGCCATGGCCTGAGTGACCCTATAAAGTGTTTGGTGCTCTCAGAAGTAGGGACTCAGAAGAGCAAGCCAAGGGCATGTCAGGCCCCTCCCTGAGCTCATTCCCCCACTCGCTCCGTTGAACCCTACCTCCAATTCCCCGATAGCCAACTGGAAGCAGGAGCTACTGAAGTTCATCAGCCCCGACCAGCTGCCTGTGGAGTTTGGGGGGACCATGACTGACCCCGATGGCAATCCCAAGTGCCTGACCAAGGTACAGGGTGACCAGAGGATGGGGAGGGAAGGTATGCACAGTCTGAGGTCTAGTGCCTGCTCACCCACCTTCACCCTCAGATCAAGTACGGGGGAGAGGTGCCCAAGAGCTACTACCTGCAGAACCAGGTGAAGTTGCAGTATGAGCACATGGTGTCTGTGGGCCGCGGCTCCTCCCTGCAGGTGGAAAATGAGATTCTATCCCCGGGCTCTGTACTCAGGTAGGGATGGTAGCCACCCCACCCTGGGCACAGCTGGGAGGGATCCTAGGGCCCAGGCAGTGTCCTCAGCAGAGCTCTGTCACCTGCAGGTGGCAGTTCGCATCAGACGGAGGGGACATCGGCTTTGGGATCTTCCTGAAGACCAAGATGGGAGAGCGGCAACGGGCAAGCAAGATGGTGGAGGTGCTGCCCAGTCAGCGCTACGATGCCCACGTGGTGCCTGAGGATGGGAGCCTCACCTGCCTCAAGGCCGGCGTCTGTAAGAGCTCTAGTGTTCACTCGAGTTGCTTACCTCCTCATGGTGTAGAAATGAGCTTACCATCTCTTATCATTCTTGTAGGCCCTGTTTGCCTCTATTTCTAGCTCTCAGGAAGGGGCAGGGGACTGTGTAAACTCCCAGGCCCATGAGGGATTGGCTCCAGGCCTTGGATCTGGTGAGCTGTCCCAACAGAGGTTCATTGTGGAAAGAGAGCCAGGGTTCACCGGGCTGGGGTAGGGGCTCGGCTCCTGGGAAACCCCACATTGGGTTTCTCAGGCTAAGATAAAGGTAAATAAAGCAAAGCATTGTCACCAGGGTCAATGTTTCTGTCAGCTTTTCCTTTGTTTTCTGCCTTTGGTGTCTCACTCAAAAACCTTTCCTATCTCATGATTATGTAATTTAAAAATAACCCACTGCCATCAAGTCAATTTTGAGTCATAACAACCGCCATTGGGTTTCCAAGGCTGTAAATCTTTGTGGAAGCAGATTGCCTCATCTTCATTCCACAGAGAAGCTGGTAGGTTTGAACTGCTGACCTTCTGGTTAGCAGCCAAATGTCTTACCCTCCATGCCACACCAGAGCTCCTTTGTGATTATGTAATGTTTATATTTTCTTCTAGCACTTTCATGCTCTTATTTCTAATATGAAAAATTTTATTCCATCTGGGATTTAACCCAGGTTCTATCTATTAGAAGGTGTTGGCTGACAGCCTATTAGTGTTCATCGAATGTCACCCTTTCTCTGTTTCCTTGAAATGCCACCTTCATCGTCTTCCAAGTTAGTTCATATACAGTTCTTGGGTCCGTTTCTGAATTTTCCTGTACAAGACCTTGGTCTGATTGTGGAATCCTATTCCAGTTCTTCATACTCAGGAACACCCCACAGCCTTACTCTGTTTCCTAGTGTGTGTACCTGCAATGCCCACCCTTGATCTTGAGTTCCGTTCCAAAACACAACAGGTCACACATGACCTTGGTTCACTTGGAAGGATTCAGGACAGGCAGTATCAGCAAGCATCCACACAGCCACCCAGGGACTCCTCTTTGGCCTTGGAGGCAGCTCAGGTGTAAGAGAGGAAAGCACCTGGGGGGATAGAAGAGGCCCCCTTGGCTCAGAAATCTCTCACCTGGTAGGAGCCAGTGTTCCTCAGAACAACCATGGGCTTAGCTTCAGCGCTTCTAGCAGGAACTTGCCCAATTGTGCAGACTGCCACACTCTGGGAAGCCCAAAGAGGTGGCTTCCTCCAGGTATGTAGCATTCATTCTCAGGCCTCCTTGGCCAGGTGATGTTTGCTCATTTTTACCATTAACAACATTGCCTAGGAACTGGCTGATGTTCCAACTCTTGAGAACAGAGCTAGGAGAAGATCAACTTCCTATGGAGAAGGAGAAAGAGTTTTGCTCACCCTTTAGTCAACTTTGTTGGAATGGAAGAGTTTGGAGGGCAGAGATCAGAGAAATCACCTCAGGTCCCAGGGTTCACATTTGACCTTGGCATTGAAGGAAAAGCCTTCACTGAGAGGGTGAGCTCAACCCTGTCTTCAGGGGCAAGCAGGTCTCCTCTCTGAGTTGGAATATGGGGACAAGTAAGACCTAGCTCCTCCATTCCCTTGTGATGTGATGGTAAGAAAGTACTCACTGAGAAAAGCCTATTTTCTTTTCCATGAAATGGGGTAACTGTACCTTATTTATAAGGAGCTCTAGTGGCATAGCAGGTAAGGCATTTGGCTGCTAACCAGAAGGTCAGCAGTTCAAACCCACTAGCTGCTCTGCAGGAGGAAGATGAGGCAATCTGCTTCTGTAAAGGTTTACAGCCTTGGAAACCCAATGGGGGCCACTATGAGTTGGAATCAACTCAATGACAGTGGGTTTGGGGTTTTTGTTTTGTTTCATTGTTTGGTACCTTCTTTGTGGGGCTGTTTTGAGGATTCAGGGAGCTGTAAAGTGTTATGAAATGCCTGACACATAGAAGGGGCTTCCTGCGTGCTGGTGGTTACTGTTACCCCTTTAAGTAGCACAAGCATCATTTAAGGAAGTGGTGGTGAGAGATGGGCCCATGGCTGGGCAGTGGCTGACCCTCAGGCCAACTCATCAACTGGAGAGCTCACGCCACCCATACCAAAGACCTCAGGGTTAGTTTTCTTGCAGACAGGCTAGGTTTCCTTAGTAGCCGCTCTGCTAATCACCCATCCACCCTTGCAGATGTCCTGCGCTTTGACAATACCTACAACTCGACGCACGCCAAGAAGATTAGCTACACTGTGGAGGTGCTGCTCCCCGACAAGGCCTCCGAGAAGGAAATCCAGGGTCTTGAGGCAACAAGGGCGCCCCCAGCACAATGAAGACCCCAGTCACCCCTGTGCCTGTGTTCGCCAACCTTTACCACCCCTCTCCCTGTCCTTCTACCTTGTCCCCTCTTCTTCCAGGTAGGGTGGTGCTAAAGGTGGCCACAGTGAGCCGCCCATCTGAATGGCTCTCTCAGTTCCTTGTGTGTGCATCTGGGATAGCGGCCCAGCAGGAAGGGGGACAACCAGTGCCTGAGGATTCAGGTGGGAATCTCATCCCCTGTTCTCGGGATTCCCACAGTGAGCCAGGGTCCACTGCGTCCCTCCTGACAGGGCTCAGCCCTCCAGGACTCACCCACACCTGGTGTTCCTGCAGGGAGTGTGGCTGAACCCAGGCCTTGCAAGGACCTCAGCTGTAGTCATGAAGAGCAGGGGCAACCACTGCCTGCATGAGGTCAGCAGAGTTGAGCGGGGCCAGCTGGCAGCAGCTGGGTGGAGAGGAGGGGAAGCGGGGGAGGCCCTTGGTTCCAACAGAGCAGTGAGGCCCCTCCAGGCTGGCCCTCCCACCTCTGAGGGTAAATTAGAAATTGAGAGAGGGGACCCAGGCAGGGCTAACCACTAGGGACCCTCTTGGCCTTCCACAGAGTTGAGGGGTCAAAACTGAGTCTCTGATGGCTTCTCAATAATCTCCCCTCTATCTCCCCACCTGTGTTCAGCTTTGATACTTTCGTTCTCTGGCTGCCATTAGAAGCTAGAATCAAAGCAGGGCTGGGTGCAGTGGCAGTGCTGGGAGGCAGAGAGCAGGCCCATGCCTGAGCACGCATCCTGGGCTCTGACTCGTTGCGTAAGGAACCATCAGATACTTCTTCCATCTTTGTGTCTCGCCAAGGGGACAGCTGAAAGTCAGCTGCCAGCCTCCCACATGGGACCCCAGCACTGTCTGCTTCTGCACATGGTTCTCAACAGCTGGGGGACACCCCTACCATAGCTCGGGATCATGGCCTGCTCTGCTAGGCGGGCGGCAGTCAACAACCCAGACCTTGGCCAGCAATGAGTGGAGAAGGTGCCAAGCTGGAGCAGGTGTGGCTGTGAAGATTGACCCAGCTGGCATTGAAACAGTCAACTAGGGCTTAGACCCCTGCTCCCTGCCCACCCTGGCCCCTGGCTGGGCCAGGCCAGTGGCTTCCAGGACTCAGAAGTCCTGGGCTAGAGGATGGCAGGCCCCTCGGCTCAGGATCACTGCCCCTGCCCTCCTTGTTTGTCCTTGTATACTGCCATTCCCACAGGTGCTGTCCTCCCAGGTGACCTCCCTGGGAGCAAGTGGCCATATGTCCCTGAAATAGGGATCCTCATTCACTTGCTGCAAAGCATTAGTCTCCTGGTTGCTGAATCCTTTCCAGAGACCCAGAGCCTCTCCAGATGCACCTGTCCGCATGCTTTGAAAGCAAGAAGTCAGGCTTGCACCCCTTTCCGGCTCTCAGATCCTGTGGTTGGTTTCATTTTCTCCAGTATAGGAGGTATCTTGATTAGCCAGGACCTACTTAAGGTGGGGGAGCTCTGGTAGCATAGTGCCTAAAGCACTTGACTGCTAACCAGAAGGCTGGAGGTTCAAACCCACCAGCCACTCCTCGGAAGGAAGGTTGGGCAATCTACTTCCATAGTGATACTGCCTCGGAAACCCAAGGAGGGGTCGCTATGAGTCGGGTCCGACTCGACGGCACATAACAACAACAGCAGCAACTTAAGGTGGAAAATTATGCAGCTTGGGGGGGAGGGGGGCCTTCAGGTGAGTGGTGTGGATCCTCGGAGCTCTCTGCACCCCCAGCGGAGCAGCTACTGCAGCAGTCATGGTTCGACCTAATGGCTCCTACCTGGACTCCATCTGAATGGAACTCTGCTACTATAAAGAGCAAACTAAACTAGATACCAAAAAACAGTGCCACGAGGCACTTCCAGTCCAAAAGAGGGTGTTTAAGCAGTTTGACAAAAAAAAAAAAATTGCTCCACCAGCCCCAAGGAGGTGGCCTGAGGCAAATGGCAAGTGTCACACAACGTCGCTGTGTCCCACGGTGGTCCAGCACCCCAGATGTGACTGGATTTCCTGGTTGCACAAGAAACCCATCTCCAACCCATCTCCTTGACAGAAAGCCCAGGCATCCTTGAGGGGTGGCAGGCAGGGAGCAGGTGGGGGACCTATAGGGGGTGTTACGAGAGCATTTGGAAAGTCTTTCCTGCTCCCCATGTCATACCCCTAGTGCCCCCCTGGCCACCCTCTGTGAAGCTCCCCACCCTCCACGCAGCAATATCTGGAGCCCCTGAGGCCCCCAGGCTCCCCAGGGCTGTGTTCCCACTGTGCTGGCCATGCTGTGCAAGGGGTGGCCCACAGATTGGGGGAGTCCTGGGTTAGGTGTTGCTGGGCCCAACTGTTGTCATGACTGTCTCACTTTCGGCCTTCACGTCCCTGCCTAAGAACAAGGGACTCGTGGACTTGAACCTTTACCTTCACCCTTTTACCCACCCACAGCCAACGTCCCACCTTCAGCACAGTCTTACCTGGTGTCCTTCTTGGTAGCAAAGATTGCCCTGCCCTAGGTTCTGAGCACAGGGAATTTACACAAATACAGGCCACACCGGGAAGGCACGTAATAAGGGGCTCACCAGTGCATCGGAATCCTGGAACTGGCAAAGTGCATCTCATGAGTAAGCAATGAGTAGGGTCACCCTCAGAGCTGAGAGCAAACGCTACCCTGCAGGGTGGCAGGGCACGTTGGAGCTTAGCAGGAGACGTGGCCTTAGCGACCCCAGCCTGACTCCTAACATCCTCACCCTTACCACAAAAAGGAAGTAGCAGAGAAGAGGGCATTAGCTTACCCAAATCTCCTTTGTTCATTCATTCATTCATTCATTCATTCATTCCTCATCAAGTTTATTAAGTGTCTTCCCAGTACCACACGCTGCAGACCCTGGGGACACAGGGGGACGCTGAACCAATCTGATGTTGCTGTTGGGAAGCTTGTGTCTCATGGGGGAGGCAGAAGTGACTCCATATCAAATGGGCATGTCATCCCCATGTGTGCCTGGAGGACAGGAGCCCAGTTAGTTCAGTGGGAGCACATAGAAAAGGGAGTTGACAAGGCATCAGAGGCGCCAGCCAGGGAAGTGGTCCCTGAAGACAGAGCTGAAGGATGAGTGGAGTTGCCAGGGTGGATGAGGCTCCAGACCGAGGGAAGGATATGGGTGGCTGGGGATGTGAGGGCAGAGGAAAGCTGGCTGGGCTCGCCTGGCTTTGAATGACACTGCTAACAACGCTAACAACCAACTGATGTTAGCTATTTCTTCATGCACAACTCTGCACACTTTGGAATTGTAAATAAAACCATTTCATAACTCTGGTTATGTAAGAACCTTGCTATCTGTCAGGACATGTCAACAACATCTTGTCAGGAGACCACAGATCAAAACTGGTGCTCAACCTGGTGAGACCCCTGAGACTCTGGCCCCTAGTTACCCTTCAAGTCTGGAATTGAACTCACTCCTGTGGCTTCCAGCCGAACAATAGACAGGCATGTGGGGTGAACATTTACATCAGGTAGATACAGTTCTTAGAGCGATCGATCATGGGAGAACAGAAGGGCAGTGTTTGCACAGGGAGACATCTCAGGGGACAGGAGTGCCTGGGGAGGGAAGGACACAGGGAAGAGGTCACTACAGGGAGGGAGTGGGAAGAGAGCTGTTACACTGTGAGGAATGGCAGTCAATGTCATGAAGCAAAATGTGAATGAACTGCTGTGTGTAAAATGAATTTGCTCTGTAAACTTTCACCCAAATTACAATAAAAATTTAAAAAAAAAAAAAAAAAACTTGTGCTCAAATAAGGAGGCTGAACATAGCTGGGCCTCGCCTTCCCAATCCATCTCCTTGATGGAAATCCCCAGAATCTGTGAGAGGAACAGGTGGGGGTGTATTGAGGGCAGTCCAAAAGTCTCCCCTGCCCCTCAAATCTTCACCCCACCCAGATCACCTTCTGAGGAGCCCGGGCCAGAGAGGACACCACAGCTGTGTGGAGGTCTTCACAGAGCTCCAAGGTCTGGTACTTCACAGTTTGCAGAGCCCCTTTCCATGCAGCCCTAAAGCAGACAGGACCTACAGCCTCATTTCACAGGCTGGAAACAGACTCCAGGCTGAGCAACCAGTGGCTGAGCTGGAGCCAGCACCCAGGTGGGCTCCTGGTGGAAGCCCCTGCCCTGTACCCAGGTGGGCTCCTGGTGGAAGCCCCTGCCCTGCACCCAGGTGGGCTCCAGGTGGAAGCCCCTGCCCTGCACCCAGGTGGGCTCCTGGTGGAAGCCCCTGCCCTGCACCCAGGTGGGCTCCAGGTGGAAGCCCCTGCCCTGCCTCTCAGGGCAGAAGAGGGGCAATGTGGGCAGGTGGGCCTCTCTCAGGGGACAGGGGCACACAGTGGGGCAGAGTGAGGCACTGAGTTCTCGGGGTATAGGGGGAGGCCTAGAGGCTGGAGAAAACTGCTCAGACATTGTGCCCCTCAGTGGGATGTGATGGCACCCGGACACGCAGCTGAGTGTTCAGTAAAACACCTACTAAGGCAGGAAGCATCGCCCCCAGCAAAGCCAGATTCCAGGCAGGAACTGACTTGCTCATGTCATACAACAGGGAGTGGAAGAGGTAAGATGTGAAACTGAGTCCATCTGTCTATAGCAGAGGAGCTGAAGGACCACTCTGGCTGGGCAGGCAGGACGGGACAATGCTGGACACGAGCATAGGCTTGGTGGCTCCAGGGAGTGGAGGGATTGATTGGCCAGATCTGACCTGAGAGGTGCTCAGGTAGCCGTGGTAGATTCACCCTCAGCCACCAGAGAGCAGTGTTGGGCCAACTGTGCCTCTGCCCATTGGTGGACTAGTGGCCCTTAGCATCTTGCTCTGAGTCCTTGGGTGGTGCAAACAGTTAACATGCTCGGCTGCCAACCAAAATGTTGGAGGTTCAAGACCACTGAGAGGTGCCTCAGAAGAAATTCCTGGTGATCCACTTCTGAAAAAGCACCCATGGAGAGAACTCTATGGAGCCC